GCCTGGAGGTCCTACACAAGGAAGACAAGTCTCAGAACATTTGGCTTTGAAGGGTAGTGGGGCTTACTTTCAGGAGAGCCAGAGGGCTATAACAAACAGACTCCGCTTTTAAAGGGCACACACAAAATCTCAAACACTCTGAGACCTGGCAGAAGCAGTAATTTGAAAGGAGCAAAAATAAATAAATGAGCCTATGTCAAACTAAAAAACTTTTGCACAGCAAAGGAAACTACCAACAAAATGAAAAAGCCCACCTACTGAATGGGAGAAGATACTTGCAAATATACATCTGACAAGGGGTTAACATCCAAAATATACAAAAAACTAATAAAACTCAACATCAGAAAAAAACCCAACCTACCCCAAACCCCCCCCAAAAAACCAACAACCCAATTAAAGAGTGGGTAGAGGACCTGAACATTTTCCCAAGATATACAGATGGCCAACTGGCACATGAAAAGATGCTCAACATCACTAATCATCAGGCACATGCAGATCAAAACAATGAGGTATCAATTCACACCTGTCAGAATGGCTATTATCAAAAGACAACAAATAAAAAGTGTTGGTGAGGATGTGGATAAAAGGGAACCCTTGTGCACTAATGTTGGGAATGTAAATTGGTGAAGCCACTATGTAAAATAGTTTGGAGATTTCTCAAAAATTTAAAAATAGAACTACCATACAATCTATGAATTCCACTTCTAGGTATATATCCAAAGAAAATAAAACACTAATTCAAAAAGATATACGCACCCCTGTGTTCATTATAGCATTACTTACTATAGTCAAGGTATGGAAGCAATGTCAGTGCCCATCAATAGAGGTATGGATAAAGAAGATGTGGTGTACGTATACCATAGACTATTATTCAGCTATAAAAAAAAAAAAGAAAAGGAGTCTTACCATTCGCTACGACATGGATGGATCTAGAGGATATTATGCTATGTAATATAAGTCACACAGAGAAAGGGAAATACAAATGAACAACCATAACCAAACAGGAACAGAGTTATAGCTACAGAGAACAATTGGTTGCTGGTGGGGAAGTGCTGGAGGGAGGCGAGAAACAGGTGAAGGAGATTAAAAAAAAACTATAGATTCATTAATCAAAATTTGCTGAATGAATGTACCCTTTCGTGTAATACATTCCTTCACTCCTAAACTGGGTAAGGACCCTCATTCACAGAGGTATGTATTGCACATATTTTTATTTTATTTATTTTTATCCTTGTTTCAGATCATCTCTTTTTTTAATTAATTTTGCGGGCTGAATTGGGTCTTCGTTGCTGTGCACGGGCTTTCTCTAGTTGCGGTGAGCAGAGGCTACTCTTTGTTGCTGTGTGCAGGCTTCTCATTGCAGTGGCTTCTCTTGTGGAGCACGGGCTCTAGGCGCGTGGGCTTCAGTAGTTGTGGCGTGCAGGCTCAGCAGTTGTGGCTCATGGGCTCTAGAGTGCAAGCTCAGCAGTTGTGGTGCACAGGTCTAGTTGCTTTGTGGCATGTGGGATCTTCCTGGACCATGGCTCGAACCCGTGTCCCCCGCATTGGCAGGTGGATTCTTAACCACTGTACCACCAGAGAAGTCCCAGATCATCTCTTGATGACCTTTTGTTTGGGGAAATATACCTTTACTTGGTTTATGTTGTCAGACAACTCTATTACATTCTGTTTAATGATCAGATTGTACTCCTTGCCTTCACAAACTAAACAGTATAGTGTATAAGAAGAAGCTGATTTTGAAGTTAGACAGATCTCTGTTCATAAACCAACTCTTCAATTTATTGACCAGGAGATGTGGGTAGCTTATTTAATCTCTCTAGATCTCAATTTGCTCAACTGTATCATAAGGTTAATATTTCTGTTTTAGGCTTGTCCCAGGGCTTAAATGTGAACGTGAAGTAATTAGCACAAATATACTCAATACATATGAATTCCTGTTTCTCCGACGTGCTTTCTTTACAAGGAAGAATATAGCCTTTGCAAAACTAAACACAAATTGCTTCTGGTCATGGCACCATCTTGACCTAAGGACTTCGAATGGAAGCCACCTCACACACACAAAGCTTGGACACTGAGGTCTAAAACTACCTACGCTGGACATAGTTTACTGTCCACATTAACATGACTTTATTATTCCTTTGTCTTAATTAGCATAATTTTACTCTTCTGGGAGACTCCTGCCCAGACAAATAGCTAGATTGTTCACTATAGGAACTTCCTGAAAAATCTATCAATTCTGCAATATAAAGAAAGCATCAACAGTTCATGTCCTAAGAGTCCTTGCTCTTTCCATCAATCTTTTTTTTTTTTGGCACCGTGCGGCATGTGGGATTCTCAGTTCCCTGACCAGGGATCGAACCCGTGCCCCCTGCAGTGGAAGTGGTAAGCCCTAACCACTGGACCGCCAGGGAAGTCCCCCATCAATCTTAAAACTGTTAAGATCAGTATCCAATCCTCATCAAGCCATCTCCTCCACTTTCCTGTCCTCTCACCCTCTGCCACTGAAAGACCAGCCTTAAACCATACTTCAAATGCCTTTCCAGCGAGAGACACTACCAAAGCTCTGTTGCGTTAGTCCAGTAAGCCATGAACCCAGCTTTTTCTTATCAAATGGTCCATTGTTGATACTTGGGAAGCTGGCACTGGACAGGGCAGTACTGCTGCAGCAAAAATAGAAATGAAGTTTTCCCTCTCCTGAGAACAAGGAAAATAAAGGGAACAGTGAACAGGCTAGAGAAGAAACATAACCTGGCCTGAAAGAGTTAATCACTCCTAGTTTTTTTTTTTTTTTTTTTTAACTGTTACTAATCTCTTGTGTCTGTTAACTAGATTTGTACTTCACAAAGCTAACCTATTACTCTTTAACAACACTATGTGAATTACATCCTGGACTCCCTTGTAGCAGATCACCCTTGTAGCATTTGCATTTCAGAAAAGAGGTCACAGGCCTATAACCCAGAGACAAATGGACCCAATTATGGGGCTGCCTGAGGCCAGCTGTGACTATTTTGAAATAATGCAGGAAGAAGAAGAATGCAGGACCTTGACTACTTTGATCCTTATCTTATACCCCGGACTGCTGCGAGCCCCACATATAAAATCTTCTCCGATTCCCGAAGGAGAGGGGGACAAAGTTCTTGAGGCGCTAGCCTGCTGCGTTTTCCCTTCTGCCTGGCAGAAAAATAAAGCCATCTCTCTCTTCCTCCAAAATCTCTGTCTCCGTATTTCTGTTCGGTGTCGGTGCACAGGGAAGCCCATATTTCGGCAACAGTACATCTCCAAGCATAAAGTCAAGACAGAGGGATTTCCAGAAATACTGCAAAAATGAACTAAATGAAATACATATTATATGCCAGACAAAGTATGTCCACTAATGTGTCCATTAAAAGGGAATGGGTTTGTCAAAACTACAATGGAAAGTTTTGTTGAAAAACTGCATAGTTGGCCGACGCGTTTTAAAAATTATTTCTGATGAAATCTAATGTTCCAGTGTTTTATTCCCGTCCTCATTACAGAGTTGTTCAAATACTGAAACCGAGTCCCCCTAAAACCGAGTCCCTCTGCCGAGTTTATGATTAACCTCTCTATCCAAAACGTTATTCCCTTTCTTGTCTAACACCTGTTCCCCTCAAGACTGAGGAGTATCAAAGAAAAGGGGGGATTGAAACCGAGCAGGACCCCGCGGGGCCCCTCCCAGGTACAAAAGACGTTCTGTTTCCTTGTTTCTCATTGGTAGGGAAAAGGCTTAGCCCCCTAGACCTTCCCCGAGTTCCAAAGGGCAGATTCAAACTCTTACTCATCAGAAAAGTGAGGGCATACAGAAACAAAGGAAAAACAGTAAAACAACAGAGCAGCGAAAAAGAGGAATCCTAGTTCCCCCTCAGGGGATACACATAACAATATACTGTTATCTTAGAGTTCTTCTACTGGAACTAAGGCCCCAACCCAGGTGAAGGATGGTAACTACTAGCTAAGAAACCAGACTGGTCAGAACCTAGGGAATGAGAAGTTGACCTTTTCTGACCCTGGTGACTTCTACTAAAGCCTGTACTCTCAACCTTTGCCCCAATTCTATATTGAATTCACCTCTGCTCGAGCCACTTCATGAATATGCACATACCTTGAGCTTAATTACTTCCTCAGTTTTGCCATCTGGGAAGATACTGCTTCGGGAAATATCCCCCCTCGCCCGTCCCCCTCCCCTTCTCCTTACTTGCTGCAAGTAATAAATCCTTCCTTCTCCAGATCTTTGGTTTGGTTGTGTCTTTTGCCCCCATGCTCACCAAGAGGCAAACCCAGTTTTCCGGTAACAATATGCTTCAGATTCAAGAAAAACAGGGTCTCATGTTATCTTTGGAGTTACCAAAAATAATGCTAGGACAGGCAGCGAAAATGACTGGAAGAGAAATGACCAGTTTTTAAACTAGATCCTTTCAAATGAAAATTCAGATCCATCATCAACTTCACTAAGCGTATGGAGCACTAATTTCTAAAGGGTCTAATCATGGCCCACTGACTTGCCACCCAGGTAAAGCACACTGAGCTGTCAGGCGGTAAGCCGTGAGGGAAGCAACACGTGCCTCTCAAGGTTTACTTTGCACTCTGAGAAACTGATCTGGGCCGCAAGCTCGACTCTCGACTGGGTTTGCCTCGGGGGCTCAAGCAGCTCCAAAAAGGGGGAAGGAGGCAGCAGAAACAAAAACAGGGTATCCGCGGAACCCGCCCTCCCGATGACTGGGGACTGGCCCGTAGCGGAGTTCGTGGCGCGGGGGCCCCCTTTATGTCAGTTTCCGGGCTCGTACCTGACAGGCGATAGACCTGCGGAAGCCGCACGCCATTTCTGTCGCCACGAAGCTGGTCCCAGCTGGATGGTGTTCAGCTTCGCCCCGCCCTCCTCTTCACGCCCCGCCTCCGAGCGCCGGAAGCCCGCCCCGGAAGGTGCTGCCAGCCAATCAAGGAGCCGCGTGGCCCACCACTAACCTCTGCCCCGCTGCCGCGAGGGAGCGCGGGAAATCCCGGGTGCGTCTGGAATTTCGCAGGTGGCGAGGACCATGGCCACCTCTTCGGTGTCCAAGGTATGTGGGGGCGGGCGCCCACTGGGACTCCACAGCCGCCTCATTCCCTTATGAAGAAGGGATGAAGCGGAGGTTACGTAGACCTCGTTGTACCGGCTCGAGGGGAGGGGATGGCGGTCCTAGCTGAGGCGTCTTTGCTCCACGTCCAGTGGAGGCCAGCTTTGCTTGGGGAGCGAAAACGCCGATCTGCCTTAGTGTTCTTTCTGCCTCGGAGGAATTTTAAGTTCTGGTTTGTGGAGGTCGGATGCCCCGAGGATGTGTCCCAGTCTCCCCTCCTTTTTCCTTTTCACGTATATTTATTGTGAGCCAAAGGCTCTGTTAGGTACCGAGATACAAGTGGTAAACAAAATAAACACAGATATTTCCATCATTACCGAAAATTCTATTAGACAGTGCTGTTACAGACCAAGTAAAGTAAGACCTTTAGTAATATTAGGAGTACGGCCGGAAACCCCTGAAAGTTTAGCTATCTAATAAAGCTGAGAATGCAGATAAGTTGCAAAGACATTTGTCCCTGTGTTGAAACAGTAAATTAATGAAGAAGGCTCTACCATGGATTTAATTTTTAATTTTGAGTAAAATTACATTAAAATAAAATGATGAGACTCAGTGCCTTCCAAGACTACATATTCTGGAGGCACTACGAGCCATAGGATTTAAGCGTACTGAAGACTGACCGACTGTGATGTTAGGTGCAAATGCCAGAAGAGCTTAACTGCTAGTATTTTTTTTTTTTTTTTTGCTGTACGCAGGCCTCTCACTGCTGTGGCCTCTCCTGTTGCGGAGCACAGGCTCAGTGGCCATGGTTCACGGGCCCAGCCGCTCCGCATAACTGCTAGTATTTTTTATGAGTGATGGTACTGTTTTTGTTTTGTCCTGGTTATAAAGTTCCATAGGTTTTCAGTGGTCTGTCCCCTAATCCTTTTTTTGCATAAGCCTTTCTTATTTTTGTGTATCTTGCAGAATTGTGAGAGGTTTGTTTTTTTTGTTTCTGTTTTTTTCAGGAAAACATTTATGACAAGAGAAATGCTTGTATTGAGATGATGATGGAGACCTTACATAAATAAGAATCTTTAAGGATTATTTCATTGGTTCATGGAACTGTCAGCTTCCTTTTTTTTCCCCTATCTAAACTTTCCTTGTCATATATTTTGGCTATTGGTTCTCCTCCTAATTTCTTCCATCTCCAACACCATCACTTGATCAGTAGTGAAAAGTGGATAACGATATTACTCCTGTTGCCATACATCGGGATCCATTCCCAGCACTCTTCATGTCTCACTCCTTCATAGCTCCTTTTCCTGCTCCTGAATTACAGATGGCTATAGAAAGGAGGCAGTGACAAGCTTGTCATAGCACCAAATGATTTTTCTAAAAAAATTTGTGTGTTTTAAATAGTTCCGTTAGTTGCAGATATAAGAATGTAAGGCACAATTCTTATTTTAGACCCTGTAATCCAATGGCCAGTTTATATTTGTACAGCAGTCTTTAGGTCTATCCTGAGATGACTTTTTCTAGCTATATTTCTTTCATTCTTTCACTTTCCATAGAAATGGGATTCTAAGAAGCTGTCCATGATGTACGGCTTTAGAATTGGTAGAACAGATGTGGGACCAGCAGCTTACGGCCTGTGTATCACTAGTCAGATAATAACATGAGACTAAATGTAGCTAGGAAATTACCAGAAAAATTATTTGGCAAGCATTGGTCCATCATGTATACTGATTGCCTAACGTATGTGTTAACATTATCCTAAACATTGGGGAAAC